CCCTCCCCCCATTAGCCTCTGACGCACCCTGTTCCCCCTCCCCCCCACCCCCCGCCTCAAAAACTGGAGTGAAATGAGACAAAACCACTGGATCTCTTTGACTTTTTCTATCTCTATGCAGTGATTAAATGTATCTCTTCAGTTAACGTGTCTGTATTTACATATTAAAATATGTATTATATTTGCGGAGCCTGGTGAGGATGGAAACCTCTGCTCCCACCCCCATCTCCCAGTACATGCCTGGGTCCGCCATTTCGGACGACGATCACAGTTGATGTAACATAGACTTAAAATGCTGTCTTAAGGTCAAGTGCAAGCGACCATCATTCTTGACAAAGAAAATGTCAGACCTGACAACCATATTTTAAAAAATATGTATGTGTGCGTGTGTGGTCGTGTTTGCGTGTGTGTAGGCGTGTGTCAGTGCGTGCGTGTGATCATCTGGTGACGCAACATTGCCATCGACCTATTAACAGTCCAGTGCAGCTCAGTTCAAACAAGCCTCCCTGTACACGTGATTTTCAGCACATGTCAACACGAATATATCGACCATATTCTGTCAGTAACCACATCACAACTCCGGCGTCGCAACAGGAGATTCGAGAAGTCAAGCCCAGTTTAGACGCACGATAGTAAACTCACCCATATCCCCACGGAGAAAACCACCAAGAAGTATATAGCAAGGGTCACGTAGTCGGCCCAGTGGTCGAACCCAGCCTCTCTCTGTGCCATCTCCCTCGTCTAAATCTACCCTGAAACGTAAGGAATGTCACCGTTAAAACAACAACTCTACACGGTGTATACGAATTCTATATATAAAGATCTTAACATAGGCCTACTGTTACACTGACGAGCATGTAGTGCTACGTATTTTGCCGGAGCAGATACAGTAAAGTTACATCCAATAGAGACAATTGAACGACCTGTCTTAATCTTAGCAATGCTTCTGATGCATTGCAAAATAAGCGTGTTGTGATTTAACGTGTCTAGAATAATAAACATTAAGTCCTCACAGAGTGTTAAAAAACGCGCGCACTACCAAGCAAGGCCTGTAAAGGTGATTAACCGAAATACATTGAAAAAGGTCAGTTTGCAAAGGCTTGTAGCGTCCTAAATGGCCTGCAGGGTATAATGTATAATTAATGTCAAGAGGAGGTAGTGTATGTGTATGTATTGGCTTTGAAAACACTGCCAAAGTCCTTGTGCATACTTGTGTGCACATGATCAATGGTCAATGGTACAGACAGGTCATTTCGCCGACCGTTGAGTAGGTGGGGGGTGGGTGGGTGGGGGTTGGGGTGGGGGGCAGTGCCTTGCTACATGTATTTGACATAAATCACCTGTATGTTGGATAAGAAAAACAATTGTAGATAATCTTGTTTAGATAATCTTGTTAAAAATGACATTATGTTATGTTATGTAATATCATGTTATGTTACGTGACGTGACGTGACGTTACGTTACGCTGCGTTGCGTTACGTTGAGTTACGTCACTTCACGTTATGTCATATTATTTCATATTACACTTAGTTATTTACACAAGGAAGTTCATTTCTAGGAAAGTTCAGTCCTAGCTTCTACGCAGAGTAATAATTAAATCTTAACAAGAAACCGCTCTCCCATTCTTACCTTGGATCTTTAACCTAAGCCTTAATGGTCCTTTTAATTTTGGCAATGATTGATCGAAAGCGCTACTCTATGAGAAAAATCATGGCACTTTACCTGAGCATAGGTAATACACCATAAAATATGTAAGTGGTCTTGTCTCGGCTGTTGTCTGCACTCGTTAAGAGGTGACCCCTCCCCCTTTTTTTTCTTTCTCGCCGACCTTTCTTAAATAATGCACGCCGTAGCAATAACAAGTCAAAACACCCTTAATGTCGTCGTTACGCAACAACTATTAGAACGCACCCCTTCAGACGCATACCTTTGTACTCACTTTTTCTCAGCGCCCCTTCAAAGCTCTTCACTGAATACACGCCGTTGTTTGGCTATGTTTGGGCTATCGCACTAGGAGAAAATCGACGTTATTTTGTCGCGATAAGAGGGAGGGAGCGGAGACGGGATGACCAAGAAGAGCACAGGTCACTGGAGCGAACTTTTCCTGATTGCTTACTTTTCTTATCTATCATTTAAGAGCAAGCAGCGTTAGGGTTATATCTACATGTATGTCGAGTGTGTTTTTGGTTTTTCTCAGTGGTGTTACATGTAACTCGTTTTAAGCGATACATGTTTTGTCCTGTAATATTTGCCATACAGGGATCTGAAAGTGTTCTAACTGTAAAAGCTAATTGAGCGTGTTGACAGCATGGGCACATTTCCAATCTATGGGCCGAAATGTTAGCTCGGGAGGAGAATGAGGGAGGGGTGTGGTATATTTTTTTTTATGAGGTGATGGAATTAGGGGAGTTTACAACAACGCATATATACACCTACACGTCCACATCACTGATACATCTTAGAATACACATAACAGCATGCATTAAATACCTCAGTTAACCAATATATGGAGACTAATATTCTGATATTTACCTTCACCAGATCATGCAGGATTCATGGATCAATATAAAGGCTCTGTTGCTTTAAAAGAGATCTAGGCAGTGCTGACTCATATGAAATTTAAGAAAACAAAACGCGGCTTAATAAATGGAGGATATAGACATTTCCTTCTACTTAACCTGAATAGCTGAGAAGAGGAATGTGAAGAGAAGAGGTGAACTACGTGTGTATGCACGAGCGCGATCGCCCGTGTGTGTGTGTGTGTGGGGGGGGGTATCAGCCGATGTAATGTCCTAAGTATACTCTCTATCCTAGGCCAGCTGGGAGGTGACGTCATTTTTTTTTCTTTTGGAATTATTCGCACTGGTCTCACTTTGAACTAGATCTAACAATTAATAAAACCGAATCACTCATATTATAAGTTCAGTTGAGCGATAACTTTTTTATGCCTCTTGAATAAATGTGGTCGACGCAATGATAACGACTGGCCTCGGGGTCATTCCATAGGGTTAATGTGTGTTTTGCTAATACCATGAACATTGAGTACCGCAGGCTACGTGTCTGATGACCCAGCAAGGATTTGGTACAAATTATATCGCAAATGGGCACAGAGGGGGCTATAGAGAGGAAGAGTAGTTCATCCCCTTATTTTACTTCGGAGATCTCACGACATGCTCAGTTTAATTGATGATCGATAACTAGTAAATATGAACGTGCTTTTGACCTACCGGTCAGTTTTGACCCTACAGCTATATTTGTGAATTCATTCGAAAGTCTGCTCTAGTAACACCAGTATATTTATCGGCTAGCTCTTAAAGGAATCTTGAATCTCGAAGCTTGTTTCGTTGAACTTAGTTTTAAAACGCCATTGCGTCTTCAGTTTAACGTTATTCGTGTTATACTTAATGCTGTGATGCTTTGAACACTCGTATATGTATATATGTAGGTTAACATATGCGGGTATCCTTTGTGAGTCAACCGACGTCGATTGCACTAGACAGTTAATTGTGTACGTACGAGTATTGACCTACTGCTTGGCCTCCAGCTCTGCCAGATATTCCCCGCCGCTTAAAAACCTCGTCGAACCCCCTGGATGCTGAGTTTTCTCACGGCAGTCATTCAAGGCCCCCACGTCGCTTTCTCAGCTATTCGACCTTGACACGGTTTACTTTCATGCGCGAGAGATTTAATGGCAAATACGTCACTTAAAATGCGCTATATACAGGGTTAACGAGTCTGACATTATTGCGGTAGCAGTTCCTACAAAAAGCTTCGTACCATGGCCCATAGGAGCCTACGCGTGCGTCTTTTAGACGCCCCTTTACATGCGAAAACGACAAGGCCTATGCCGAGTTCGTCTTTTACTACAGAGCTTTGAGAGTCGAGAATGACATGGCAGTGTCTCTTTCGCCACTAACTGAACGCGTTAGATGCGAGAATGACACGACCCATGTCGCGTTCGTCTGTTACTGTGCATTTTTGAGCTTCAAATGGCTATGTTCAAAAATTCGAAATACACATTATCACGATTTGTTCGTCATTTACTGAGACCCATAGATGCGATATTGACTAGGCCTGCGCCGCATTCGTCTTCTATTGTGCAACTTATAAAACGCGAAATTGACAAAATTGTGCTTATTTCGTAACACACAGGTTCCACACATGCGAGATTGCCTTGTGCCAAGTCGCGTTTGTATTTTACCGTGGAATTTATTCTTTTAAATGACAAAGTTATTACACACGAAACCGACTTGTCTCGTGTGGTTTTCGCAGTTAAATAAGCAGAACTTTATAAACGAACTTGACGTGACCTCGAGAGTCATGTCGCTTTCAACTCTAACAAAACCTCCAACAAAATCTATCTCCACACAGACGCGCGCGACATTGAGAGTCATGTCGCTTTCAACTCTAACAAAACCTCCAACAAAATCTATCTCCACACAGACGCGCGCGACATGTACTATTGGACATGGGTCAGTTGAAACCCTATTAAGCTAAAGGGCTCATGTTACTTTCAGCCAACTCTTAAATGTCAAATCCAATTAATTGTAACAGAGGGACTGTATCAAAAACCTTTTTATTTGAATCCTCAAAAATAAATTTGTGAAGGCAAATTGTTGTTACAGGTAATAATAGCAGATATAACAAAGAAATAATAGTAGCTTTTAACAATGAAAAAAAATAGTTTTACACCTCAAACTAGAAATCCTATACACATAAATGAAAATAGCCTAAATTTGGTAGCCTATATATTTTGGCCCATTGGTTTGAATCCCTTACTGACCTCTGCTTTGATATTAATCCCGCTAGCTAAAGCAGTTTGCATGTATGTAGATGTTCTGTTGTAAACTTTCTCATGTGAAACTACATATAATTCCTTGCACAGAATGGCAGAATTAACGGATGCAGGTGAGTAGACACCGGTAAAGGCTGTTTAGTTGTTTAAAACAAGTCTTACTTCTTGTTGATTGTAATAGTAGCATATAGTCCACATGTATAAAAGTATTTAACATTTTAAACAAATTTATGTTATATTAGTTGAGTTTCTACACCATGTGTATTAATTCCATTATTTGTATTTAATTTTAAATTATTTAACTCATTTCATGTGTCTCTCTTTCCCTTGGTGTAGTACTTGTAATAATTAAATATGTTAGTCTAACAGCACCCAGACCTCACAGTAGGCCTACTATGTAGGCTTGGGATTGTTTTAAAACGGGTCATATTAAACGAGTCATATAATAGTTTTGGTTTTGATCAGGGACGTATCCTCCGGGGGTGGCGGTGGGGGGCGTAGGGGGGCAATTGCCCCCCCCCCCCCCCCCCCCCG